CAACAAGCAATCCCGCACTCCTACAAATAGGAGCATTATCGGTAATAACTTGGACCACATTATCGGGTTCAACCTCTTGAATGGTCTCCTTGATCAACTCGGAGATGAAAAAATTATCTTTGATTTCACTTTCACAATTTACCGCTTTCAAGAACATAGGCCCATTTACACTTATAGCAATAAAATTGATGATTGGCTTCCTTTGTGGATCCGTCCATCCATCACAAACAATAGTAACACCATTTTCCTTCCAAGAATCTTTAATTGGAATCATCAACTTCTCTATGTTTACTCTTTCATTTTGAAGAAGAGTAGTCCTCAATAAGTTGTAACCGGAAGGACTATAGCCACTAATACTACTATTAGAGGCATAAGTGTAGGAGGAAACATAGTGTGGGTTCCTTGCAAGGTAAAAAGGCAAACCGGCCGAGTAAAACATTCTTGCAATTTCACTATGCAATTCATCACGAGCTTTAAGATTAAATGATTTTTCAATTACCCAACTATTTTTCCTCTTTCTTGGTTCAAGAGCATCACGCATAAATGGCCCACCTCCCGTGCTTACATTTGCACTTGATGAAGATCCGGCTTTGCTTGACTTTGTGGAAGGTGACAAAGGAACCTATTTTGGCATCTCTCTTTTAATTCTTATTTCAGCTTCATTAACTAACCTTTGCATTTTAGCTATATGATCATTAGTCACTTTTTTACATGCTTGAATGCCATGTCCCAAGATTTTTAGCAAATGCTCTTTCACCCTATAGTATGATCCCTTAAAATTCCCTTGACAATAATTGCATTGAAATTTTATATTTCCCCCTCCTCTCCCAACCTTATCAAACTTTTTAACGTATTTCCAGAGAGGGGTGTTATCATCAGATTTAACCCCACTGCTAGAACCTTGCACATTTATTTTCCTAATAACAAATAAGTATATATAAATACAAAATTGTAAATAAAACAACAACAAATAACATGACTAATTTTAATAATTTCATCTTTGTTATAAACTTATAACTAATGAATTGATGCATTCATTTTTAAAGAACCACATAAAATTTGACTAATATATTCCATGAATCATGCAATATAACATTATAATCTGGGAAATGTCAATGTACTGAATAATAAGCTTTATTTAATTTTTTTTTTTTCCCGATAAATTGCTTATCTAGTTATTTTTCACAAAGTCTTGTACATCAGCACATGTAGCTTAATAATAAAAAATAAAAAATAAAAAAGAAGAATATCTTATTCATGTACGTACAGAGATTTAATTGAAGAAGATGAGAGACGAAATGAGTGAAAAGAAACCTACTTGGTGGAGTCGCCTTAGTACCCCCAAAGTAATGTATGTGCTTCATATACTGGCATTTATTCCTTTCCTATGAAAGGCAATGGCTCAAAGCAATTGGGGCCAGTATGCATGGTCTTGTTACTTTTGGTGGAAAATCTGCCTGCCAGAGACTTTTCCAAGTCGTCCAAGCAAGTCTTCATTCAATTGGCCCACTCTCACGCGACTTCGCAAATCTTTAACTCCATTCACATCTCTCTTATCTATTTCTCTTCGGGGTTGAGTCTTTCCTGCAATGAAGAATACACAATTCTATATTTTAACAACATGATTCTCACTCCTCTGTACCTCTTCTTCCTACTCACAACTTCACTCTTCCCCATTTTCTGCAACTCTTACACGCCTACTGAAAATATCACCGTTGCCTGCGGCTCCTCTGACAACACCCCCGCCCCAGACCACCGGAAATGGGTGGCCGACATTGTTCCCAATTATCTGTTTTTGGAACAAAAACATAACTCATCAATACCCTCTGCAGCACAAAGACCGTCTCCCCAAGCAAGCTTTGTTCCCTACTTGAAAGCACGCATTTCTCTGTCTGATTTCACCTACGGATTTTCGGTCACCGCCGGCCAAAAGTTCATCCGCTTACACTTCTACCCTTCTCAATACCAAAACTTGGACCCCGCCAAAGCCTTCTTCTCCGTCAGAGCCAATCAATTCATTCTTCTCAACAACTTCAGTGCCTCTCTAACAGCTGCTTCTCTCGGCTCCGACTATTTTGTCAAAGAATTCTGCATAAACGTAGAAGATGAAGATCAAACATTGAACCTCACCTTCACTCCGTCTTCAACTCCATCCGATGCACACGCTTTTATCAATGGAATTGAAATTGTCTCCATGCCTACCAATCTTTATTACACCCCGGCCGAGGCTCAAGATGGTATTACTTTTATCGGCCATGAGCAAACCCCAATTCGTATTGAAAACAACACTGCTCTTGAGACCGTACACCGATTAAATGTGGGTGGGAGATATATTTCACCCATGCAGGACACGGGCATGTTTCGAAGCTGGTTGAATGACTACGATTACGTTTCGGACGTTGGGGAATTTCCATTTAGCAACAGATCTGAACTTTTCACCAAAGTACGTATTTACACTGCACCAGCCCAAGTATACCAGACAGGTCGGTCCATGGGAAACAACAAAGTAAACAAAAACTACAATCTCACTTGGAATTTGCCTGTGGATTCGGGTTTTATGTACCTGATCAGACTACACTTTTGTGAGTTTCGAGTTCGAGTTGGGGTGTTAAGGGGACAGACAATTTACTATATTCATAACGAACAAGACGGCCGAGAGTCATTTCGATGTAATCGTTTGGGCTGGAAGAAATGATGTCCCAATTTATATAGATTATGCAGTGATGATGGTGAGTCAAGGAAGAGATCAGAATCTGTCTATAGCTCTGCATCCTAATCGGGTCTCAAAGTCTCTTCACTCTGATGCCATAATTTTGAATGGGATAGAGGTTTTCAAACTCAGTGACTATTCTGGCAATCTCGCCGGACTCAACCCTGACCCAGTTCCACAGCCGTCTACTCCACAACCCACAAAACCGGAAAAGCAAAGAACTACACTACTCGCCGCCGTTGTCAGCGGTGTTATTTCAGGTGTGGTCGCACTCTCAGTTCTTGGTTTCTTGATTTTCCGGCAATGGAGTAGAGTAAAGGAATCATGTTGGGGCTCGATCCCATACGTAGCATCAAAATCCGACAAAATGGGTGGCTTGCTTCTACCGTCTGATCTGTGCCGTCGCTTCTCTTCTGCAGAAATCAAAACGGCAACTAATAACTTTGACAATGTTTTCATTATTGGAAGTGGAGGATTTGGCGACGTGTATAAAGGGTATATAGACGGTGGGGCCACCCAGGTTGCGATTAAACGGTTGGATACAGGATCAAAACAAGGGGTCCACGAGTTCACCACAGAGGTGGTGATGCTTTCCCAGCTTCGTCACCTCCACCTGGTCTCTCTCATTGGATACTGCAACGAGGAGCGTGAGATGATTCTTGTGTACGATTACATGATCAATGGGACCCTCCGGGATCATCTCTACCGTAAAAACAACAACAAGGATCATGATCATCTTCCTCTCTCTTGGAATCAGAGGCTCCGAATCTGCATAGGTGCAGCAAAAGGGCTGCACTACCTTCATGAAGGTGCGAAGCACATGGTCATCCACCGCGACGTCAAGTCGACCAATATTCTGTTGGACAAGAAATGGGTAGCTAAGATTTCGGATTTCGGGCTATCGAAAGTGGGCCCTACGGGTACGCCCAACGCTGCAGTCTCTACCGTGGTGAAGGGTACTTGGGGGTATTTGGATCCGGAATACGCAAGATGTCGGCGGTTGAGTGAAAAATCTGATGTATATTCGTTTGGTGTGGTGCTGTGTGAAGTACTGTGTGCCAGAAAAGTAGTAGATCGTAGTCTGGACGATGATCAAGTGAGTCTGGCTAACTGGGTAAAGTGTTGCATTAGACAGAGAACTCTTGATCAAATCATTGACCCGTATCTGGTGGGAAAGATAGCACCAGAGTGTTTGAGAAAGTTTGTGGAAGTTGTGAAGAATTGTCTCATAGATGTCGGAATCGAACGGCCATCTATGGGTGATGTGGTGGGAAGGCTTGAGTTCGCATTGCAATTGCAAGAAACTGCAGAAGCCGCAAAGCAGGATATCAAGGAGCTTGGTGATGGTGGGTTCGACATGGAGAATATCTACCCAGCAGACCCAGAGCTGCCATTACAATTACATGCAGCAGGTCTTCACAAGAGTGGATTCGCATCGGATTCAAGCAGCTGGTTAACAATGACAGAAATCACCAGTACTGAAATTGGTGGTTAGGATTTATTACACCTTCTCTCCATATATTTTATAAAATATACTACATATATGGCTTCAAATGGGAGATCATAGGAGCTTAACTAAGGACATGTTTAGTAGGAGGAATAATTCTTGATTTCTACTTTTAATTGTCAAAATTGAGAATCAAAAGTAAAGATCATGTTTAATATATATATACAGTGAACTCTCTCATTCTAGAAGGCAGATCTGAAATTTTATATGGTGGCTGATGGCGGTCTATTCCCGGCGTCAATTGCAATTGCAGCAGTGATAATATATATATACACACATATAGAGAGAGAGTAGAAAACATTGATGGTCAAATAGAAAGCAAAATTATAATTATAATTATTAAACTTGCTTTTTAATTTCTTGCTTTGAAAATATTAAAAACATACAAAATTAGTAAATATAATTTTATTTTATATTTCAGTTTTAAAAATGAAAATTATGATTTTATTTTTGAAGAAAGTAAAAGTGAAAAAGTGAAAGCCTTAGTATACGGAGCCTAAGCAAATAAAAATGCCTAGAGAAATTATAATATGATCTCTGGTGAATGATTGGCTTTACGATCTGACAAAATAATTAGTTTTAAAAAAAAAATGGTAAATTTTTCCGAACAGTGTTCAAACCAACACAATACTAACCATTAGTATTATTACAGCTTAGTGCACAACTATACAGCTTACTGTAGCCAAACTAAAACACACCTAACAATAAAATGGTAAATTTATATTTTCAATATTAAACTACATTTTGCAGGTATTCGACCACACAGGCACCACAATTCAAAGATTTCTACGCAAACTGCATTCAACCAACTAGCCTTATCAGTAAATGAACTAAAGACAATAAGATCACATTTCCAAGTTTTACCCAAACAGTTTTCCTGTAACTTATGACTAATAATTAGCCTATATAATCTATGCCAAACAGAAACAAAATAGCAACGTTGAGCGATACCAGCTTCCGCAATGTAGCAAAATTATATTATAATTTACATGTAGGACTAAGGAGAAAGGAAATGAAAATAAATAATGACCTTAGCTTAAGATAAAAGAAAGGTAAGATTTTGTTTATACCCATTTTCTTGTTTCGGAATTGGCTTTCTATGAAAAATAGGGACATCTATCTCTCCATTTTCTCCCACTCCGAAAGGATAGCAAAATCTCACCCTTCCCTTCACTTCTCATTCTGAAGACAAACATGAACATTTCCCTTGTCCTTCTTTTCCTTCCAACTCCCTCAATTCAAAGACACCGCAAGAGGGGAATCTAAGGACAGAGCTAACAGAACCTCATCAGAAATAACATCCAAAACATGAACACAAATTACAACATGATCACTATGTTAATCAGTTGTTGCCTTCTGGTGGTTAAACAGATGGAGATTGGAGTTGCTTTAGCCGTCGTACACCATCATTTGTTGGCCTAGACCTCGTTGAGAGAGAGTAGCAAGTATACAAAAATGGCCAGCTGTAACACTTCTACAGATCATTATGGAGACCTGCATCCGATAACCCTGCAATGCAATCCAAGCACAACTTAAATTTGGGCTTCACCTTATGCACAACACTATGTTAATCAGCGATGACACCTACATCAGGCAGTTAACCAAATGGAGATTGAAGTAACTTCCGCCATTTTACAACTTGCTTAATTGTAAGCCTGGTTGAGACAGTACGCGATGCCCAAGTGTAACATTTCTACCAAATCATCATGAAGACCCGCATCGCATGACCCTGCAATGAAGAATTCCAAGCACAAAGAATAACTGGGCTTCTACCTTCTACACATCACTATTTAAGTAGCTGAAACCTTCATCAGACAAACAGATGGAGGTTGAAGTTGTTTCAGCCATTGTACGACTTGCTTCATCGTAGGCCTGGTTGAGAGAGAATCGACAGTACATGCAACAGCCAAGTCTAACACCTCAACCAAATCATCATGGGGACCTACCTCCCATAACCCCGGAGTGAAGAACTCCTTGGCACGGCCATGTTGTAGAAGCAAGCGCGCCCACATGACAATATTGAAGCCATTCCCGTAAGAAGCGAATGACGGATCCAGAGCTTTCTTGTCTGAGATTAACTCAAGCAGCACCACCCCATAACTGTAGACATCAGCTTTGTCTGAAACTCGGCAAGTCATAGCATATTCTGGAGCCACATAACCAAATGTTCCAGCCACACCTGTAGTGGCATGAGTTTCTGAAGTTCCAAGGAGCCTAGCCAATCCAAAGTCGGACAAGTAAGCATTGTGGTCATCGTCCAACAAGATATTACTAGGCTTGACATCACGATGGAGGACACGTGGCTCACACTGGTCATGTAGGTATGCAAGTGCATGGGCTATGTCCAAAGCAATCTTGTGAAGTATCCTCCAATCGGCAGCCCTTGTAGACCTTTCCTGGATGAAATTTTCCAAATTACCACCAGGCAAATAATTATATATAAGGAACATCTCTGTTTCACTTGCATGATAACCTATCAGGGTGACAAGATTCGGATGATGGAGCCTCCCTAGGGTTCTTATTTCTGCATCGAACTGTTGAACCCCTTGGAACCGTCCAACTGCAAGCCGTTTTATTGCCACCAAGACTCCTGGGGAAATCTCGGCCTTATAAGTTGCCCCAAAACCTCCACTCCCAATGCAGTTGCTTGCATTAAAACATCCTGTGGCCTGCACAACATTTTCATACGTCAATGGAACCCTAAGATCAGTGAAGACCGTAACTTCCTTCATGGCAGCCACACAAATTCTGGGCCTTGGGTTGCATTTTCTGATGTAAATGAAGAGGACAATCAGAGCAAGAAGAACTGATACAATGGCTGATGCAGATGTTATGGATGCAATCTCGATCAAACTTAAGCCACTACTCCCACTTCTCTGGGCTGAACTTGAGGTTGGAGAGGCAGCATAATTCTGTGAATTCCCAACCCTCCCTTGCGGATCTGAAGATGGCACTGTTAAAGAGACCATATTGCAAGGCTGTAGTAAAGGATTTCCTAGGACACTACTGCATTTCATCAAATTACCATTCAGTGGCAGCGGCCCAGACAAGTTATTGAAGGACACATTGAATGCTGAGAGCATTGTCACATTCACCAGACCAGAGGGTATCTGCCCCGAGAGTTTATTGTAGTTGAGCAGAAGAACAGTCAGATTTCTCAAATTCACAAGACCTTTTGGAATCTCACCAGAAAGAGAGTTAGAAGAAAGTTCAAGCACTTCTAATGAGTGCAGCTGCCCTAAGCTTGTAGGGATAGAGCTAGTAAGGTTATTACCAGCCAAAGAAAGACACTTGAGATTGCTTATCAGGCTGAAGCTGCTTGGAATTGGACCTTGCAACAGATTCCAACTCAAATTAAGAGCAACAAGAGACGCAAAATCTCCAAAAGTAGGAGGTAAGGTCCCACTAATCTGATTCCCGGAGGCATCCAAAAGTTTAAGAGATCTGCACACTGCACCGATTCTTACAGGAATTTGACCAGATATTCTGTTGTTGCTAACATTCACAATCATTGAATGAAGTCCGTCGCATTTCTCAAATAAGTCCCTGGGAAATGGTCCGGCAAGCTTGTTGTCAGCAGCAAGAAATGCATAGACAGTACGTTTTCCTAATCTATCAGGTGCAAGCAGTACTGACTGGAAAGTGCCAGTAAAGTTGTTCCCTCCAAAATTATGAAAAACTGTAAGACCACCACTATCTTCAAAAAATGGCAGAAGGGTTCTAAGATGAGTTCTATACACAAAAAATGACTGATATGCATATGATAATTCATGAAGTTCAGAAGGATATACACTCAATGAAGGAGCATGTAAGCAACTACTGGAATCAAATTTAGGGATTGAACCTGAAAGGCAATTCCCACTGACATCAAAGACAGTCATACAAGGAACCGGAAGTTTCTCACTAAGCTCCCCTGCCAGTCTGTTTGAGCTCAAATCTAAAAACTGGAGCTTGCTGCAGTGACTTAATCCCTCGGATATTTCTCCAGTGAAAAAATTCTGAGCAAAGTTCGCCATCACCAAGTTGTCACAAACACCCCAATTCTTTGGCAACCTTCCCTCTAGAGTTGCCCTCGGCGCCCACATTATTCTGAGCTTTGGAAGAGTCATAATTTCCTCAAGAATGGCACCTTCAAAGTAATTAAATTCATCTTTGGTAGAGATAGAGTGGCCGAATGAGGAATCCCTTTCTGAGTTAGTAATATTAGAAAGAGGATCAAACAAATTTGAGAATACAAGGACAGATAGTTCAGAACAATTTCCAAGCTCAGGAGGTATCAAACCACTAAGGCTGTTCCTTGAAACATCCAACACTTCAAGCTTGTCCAACCGACCAAGTTCAACCGGAATGACCCCTTCCAGCTTATTAGAATACAACAAAAGCGACTGCAACCCACTGCAATTCCCCAAACTGCTCGGAATCCCACCGACCAAGGAATTACCCGAAAGCTCTAAATGCTCGAGTTTCCCACAATTATCCCCAATTTCACTCGGAATCGACCCACTGAGTCGATTAAATGACAAGTAAAGCTCCCTCAGATCTCTAAATCCACCAAAAAACCCTGGGATTGTCCCATTTAGTTTATTCCCCGCTAAATTTAAGATTTCTAAACTCACCAAATCTGACAGTGAATAAGGTATCTCCCCTACAATCTCATTAAACCCCAAATTGAGAACACTTAAATTTCGTAAAGCCCTGAAATGAGATGGCAACGACCCGCTAATCGAATTCCCTTCGAGATCAAGAACTTCTAACTTTTCAATACCCCATAGTTCAACAGGTATTTCACCATTCAAGTCATTGAATGGAAAAGATAGAACCCTCAGTTCTGTAAGCTTTGCAATGGCAGGTGAAAGCATACCCACTAATTTTACATTACTATGCAAACAAGTTCTCCTAATACCGAACCCATAAAATGGAAATTGAGCAAATTTATCACAAGAGAAAGAACCAGAATTACCTCCGTGACCTCCGCCTGTGATGTTGATGACCGAAACCCGATAATTTGAATCGCAGGTGACTCCAAACCACGAACAGTGGTCAGAATTAGTCGAGTTCCAGCTCGTAAGCACTCCTGAAGGGTCTGAAACTGAACTCTTGAACTGTAACAGTGCCAATTTTTCCGAATCGTCGCCTACAACCACATAGGAGTGAGCTATAAAGAAGACCCAGAAGAGAACAAGCAATTTCAAGGCCCCGTGAAGATGGTACCATTTTATAACAAAATAACAACCACCACCCATTACTGAAATCCTAAAAGAGTCAAAGAAAATCCTAGAAAAAAAAGGAAAAAAAAAAAAAAAAACCCAAATCCTTATCTCTGTCTCACGCTAATTGCAGAGAAAAATAGTGGCACATTTTTTTTGTTTGTTCGTTGCAAAACCCCAATTTGGGTTTTGGTGAACAGAGCAAAGTGGGAAAGAGGAAGACAGAGAGAGATTCAACCACCGTTGTTTCTGCGAAGAGATTCAAAAAAACAGGCGTTGTTTTTTCCACTACAATAATTTCTTTTTTGCATGTATTTTTTTTTATTTATTTTCTTTTATAGCTACAGTACTACTTTTTGTTGTCGCTGGTGGTGGTGTTTTCGTTGTTTGAATGGATTTTTCTCTCTTTGAGCTTGGGAGGTGATGGGCCCACTGAAATTAACTTTGTGAATGGTGGGCCATGTCCGGCCCATGTTTCCCAAACAAGACCGAGACCTGCTCCTTTTTACCGGCTTAACCGGTTGGGTTAGATGGGCTAAAAATCCGCTCCTGTCTGACACGTGGATCAATAGAGCGGAATTCACGTGAGACAATGCCCCCACCTCCTCCTTCTTCCGCAGCCAGATTGGAATTTGACAATTTTCATCATGCTTACGTAATTATTCCTCATTTTAATAAAACTTAAAAATAAAAATACTAATAATAGGAGGCATCCTCTAAATTGATAGGAGTAAAATATATCCTTAAAGTGACCAAAATTTAATATAGTCATCCAGTGGAATATATTTTTACTTGTTCCAGTTTTATTGTTTTTTTTTTTTTTTTGTTAACGGTCTGTGTTGCTTGTTTAAAGTCAAATATTGATTTGTTATTTATTTAGTGCAACAATGAATTTATGTGCAAATATCCAGTTCTCTCTACTTTTGGTTCAGTCTTTCTGAATTTGGAGAGAGAATAATTTCTCTTAATTAGAAAAAGTTATTTTTGTTAATTAAAGCTTTAAATAGTATAAAATTGGTGCAACTTATATAGAGTGAATGTTGTCAATCAAACTCATATTTTCAATATCAGATGAATTAAAGGTTTGGAAATAATTTATTTTTTTATAAAGGCGGCTTCATTGAACAAAGAATACAATAAGGCTACAAGCATAAGCCATAAAGTTCTCACAGATACGTAAAGTAAGATAACAATCCATGCCAATCAAGGTGTGTCAACACATGATTTGATCTTCTAACTGATATTTATCCGATACTCCGATCTAATAAAATGAAAATAAATTCCCAATGTTTTGTTCAAAATTAAAGGGTCAAACGAAGAAACACCCATATCGCACCTTTTACGTGCGAAAAACTACACAAATAAGTTTATCGATCTATAAAGTAGAGTTAGATTAAAATGTTATTACTTTTCAAAAAAATATAGATTATTTTGTAAAATAATTGAAAAGGACTTTATGCAACTAACCCAATGGGCAATATGCTACTAATATCGTAGCAAAGAGGTGTTATGTGCGAATCAAATACACTAGGAGTTTTTACTGAAACCGAAAGCTAAAGGAATGGGAGCACCATAATCCACCCAGAGGCGGCCAGTTCGTGAGACTGCGGCGGGTTCTGAATAAATCCATTCAATCTAAATCTTTTTTTTCTCTTTTCGATCTTTTTCTTCATTTTTCTCTTCCCATGGAATTACCTCTTGAAAGATTTCTAGAAACTTGAGTCTTATTTCCTCTTCTTCCGACATCATTTATCCTTTGAAAGGCATTGACTCTTTTTCTTTCGGTGGAACTTTTTCTTTCTAAGTTGTTCTTGTTATTCCTTTTCTAAACTATTCTTCCCTTATGATCGACTTTGGAAGCCGGAACATAGGAGTCCTGATGATCCAGTGGGAGGGATCTTCCTCACAAAGCTAGAGATCGCATTAATAGCATTAATTGTAGTGATGGTAGATGTTGGGAGCCGCAGGCTTCCTCGGCCCAGCGTGTTTAGCCCGGAGCATGACTAGGGAGCAAGCTCTTAAAAACTCCCATTTTCTCTTTGGGGTTCTTAGGAGCTTCATGTTCATCCGCCACGTTGATTTTCTTCTATGAAATCTTGTATTATATATATATATATATATATATATATATAAATTTATTTATTTATTTTGGCACGATTTTTATATTTAAGTTAGGATTCTTTATGTTGAACTAAAAAATAATTTCAAATGAGATTGAATTTAGAAATATATATCATAGAATTTTTTTTTTGACAATTTCATACCCGGAATAAATAAATAAGTTGTATTTCATGTGCAATAATTTGGTAAAGAATCAGAATTCAATAATTCTAAATGTAACAATTATAAACAATTCAATAATTTCAAAAAAAAAATTGCATTTCATGTGCACTTAACACACATCTATGAAAGAGTAAAATAGCAAAACGGATATTACAATACTAATTTATATCAAATTTTTAATTGAGGGGCGTTTCTGTGAAAAGAATATGATTGTTTTTTGCACACTTTTAAAAATAAGAATAAAGGTATTATCGCAGATTATACATTAGAGGTATTTTTTGCATTTGCCCTAAAATAAAAATGAAAATGTCTTGATAAATATAAAATGAAATAAAGTTTAGGATACCCACCCTAATTTCGATCTAGGGATGTCATCGGCCAAGTTCGCAACGGGCATCCTTTTCCAAACCACTCTACTAATAAATAAATAAAAATTCTACTTGAAGCACTCCGGCAGATGGGAAGGATTCGTGCCATCCTTGTATACATAAGTTTTTTAAGAAAAATATTTAAATTTAAACAAATTAAAAATAAATTTTGTAATTTTTTTTTTTTAATATAATCAAATATTTAACAATCATAATAATTAAATATTAAATTTTAAAATTATCATTAAAAATAAGAAAAAAAGAAAAATTATAACTAATAAAAAACATTTGTTTATATATTAATTATTAATCGAGGCGGGTTCAGGCTATGCGGATTTTAAACTTACTTACTTTTAAAACTCGTCTTTAACCTTATTAATATGATCTCATATCCGTCTCAATAAATACAAATCTCGATAGAGTGTGGACTAGATGGAGTGGAACGGAGTGGGTTAAATTGACTTTCCTACTCTAACATTATGCCATTAGGGGCAAAAACCATTGGAATGATTAAATTGTATTTGTATGAAACATTAGTTTATTTTATCTTAATTGATATTATTATTAGTATTATAAAATAACTTTTAAGTACTTTATAGTTTTTAGATTACTATCAACTCAATTACAAACCAATCTTCATCTTGACCAAATTTCCACTGGAAGTCAACTTTAGATTAAATGCTTAAAAATTGGTTGAAGGTTAAATTATATCATCCTTTAAAGTACAAAATACTCACTGAGGTTTTCTCCATTGAGCAAAATATCCCCCTGAAATAAAAAAAAAAAAATGAGCAACTTAGTCATAGTAGTTCTGAAATTGAGCACTTTGCCCCCCTCCAGACGTCGGAATCCTCTTTTCGGTGATATGTATAAGTGCAATTACATATATGCCCTCTATAATGATAACTTTAGAAAAAATATGAAAATGCAAAGTGTCGTATATACCCTTTAATAGTTTTAAAGGCATGTGTTGACTAAGTTTTCACCCCATGCCACCTCATTAAATTCAGGTATATTAATGTAGTTTCCAATAAAACCCCAAACCCATATTCTCTCTCCATCGTACTGTCTCTCTTTCAACCGGTATTCTCTTTCTATATTCTCACGAAACTCCATTATCATTGTTAGATCACCACCGCCGTCGTCGTCAACCATGGCACCATGAACTTGTTACCGTGATCTATACCATTGCGGTTATCGTCAACCATGGTGACTTGAATTAGTCCCCGTGAATCACGTGTTGAGAGTTTGTGCGCAGCGGAATGGTTGTGGAAGATAGTATGGATAGATAACCTAGAAGATAGTAAATATATTTAACTTGCTCTTTTATCTAATTTTTTCTTATTTTAATTTTACCGAAATAAAACTAAAATTAAACCACAAAACAAAAATAAAGTGCAAATAAAGTAAATAGAGTTTGAGAGATGACACCAAGATTTTATCGAGGAAACCCTAATTGGTATAATAAACCAATTGTAACAGGAAAAACCTCGTTGAACTCCGCAATCCTGAGATAAACTATCCACTGTGTTTGAAGCAAAGTATACCGAACTTTGACTCAGTTTCACACCCTATCGTTTTACCAAAAATCAATTGCTGATAATCCCTGGCTTTGCGACTCCCTCGTCCAACAGCTCTGGATCTAAGGCTTACTCTCGATCTCTGTAGAAGAGTTGCAGGTAGATCAGACAACACTCCACGAATGCTCTGACCCTTTCAAAGTGTGATCGCTTCACCCCTTTTCTTCAAGATCTGAATTTAATGAAGAATGAATGAATTCTACTTTTCCGGAATTTCTGAATCTTCAATTATGCTTCAATTCCGATGAGATAGAGAACAACACTCCTAAATCACTCTTGTGTTTATGTGTGTGCTCTCAAAAATAAAATCAGAAAAATCAGATTGATTTTCTGAATGAATAAAAATATCTCTCAAATATGGCTTTCAATAAGATCTGAATTTTGTATGCAAAAGCCGTCACTAAACCTATGTGTATGATAAGGTTTATATAGAGTTTAGAAAGTCCTAATCCCTCAGAAAATATGATAAATTTCGTGCATAGGATTTGGTACAGTTTTAAACCAAATAAGAAAGAAATCTGAAACAGGAAACTAAACTTTCCATTGGCTATTAGGACTCTTGAACCTGTTCAAAGAATTGGGAACCGATTCAAGGATGGCAGAATGTATTTCGAGGCCAATGTTGAAGACTTGAACCTGTTCAAAGAATTGGGAACAGGTTCAAGGATGACAAAATGATTTCTAGGCCAAATTCAAATGGCTTGTACCTATTCCAAGAATCATGAACAGGTTTGTAATACCCCTAATTTTAAAAAGGATATTTCTGATATTTAATTTATTATTTAAGTGCATCTTATTTGGTCATGTGTCGTTTTATTTGATTATGTGCTTAATTGTTTTATATTGTAGTGCTTTAATTGATTATTATTTAAATGGAATTATTTGTATTTGATGATTGGAACTATTCGTATTATTAATTTCATTATATTTATTTATTTGTGTTATTTGAATTAACTAAATTAATTGCTTTAATAATTAGTAACTACAAATCGTTTTGTGAACTGTTTAATTATTTAGGATTTTAGGTTTCATGGATGGGCCAACTGAAATTGCAGCTAGGTTTTATAGTTATACACGGATTAGGGTTATTGTTTTCACCTATAAGTATAGGTGGTTTAGGGTTTTAGAAAAAAAATAAACAAAATTCTGTTAGAC